AGACATGGCTCCCATACAAAAATATCCCCTATATATAAATCCCTAGCAAATCGGAAAAAATTCACTCGAAACCAAAAAACCTAGGAAATTGAAAGAATTCTCCTCAATTTTCTACATTGATGAGCTAAAAAAAAAGGTCTTCACTTTTAGAATCAAAAACCCTAGCAAAGTCGAATAATTTTCGCGAAAAAAAATTTCTCATCCAAATCCATCCCCCCGACATGAAAAAAGTGACATGGTGGCGCCATGTACCTGTAATATGGTGGTGAAAGAACAAACTGTGCATGTGCGACCACACAACGTATTTGCGACCACATTGTGATAGACGATTTGTATTTTCTTCTACTTTTTTTTAAACGAAATAAATTTTAAATACAAAAATGATGAAATCGCAAGGAATTTTCTAATTGTAAACATTTTATTCTTGAAAATAGATAAATTTTATGATCACTCTTTGCGACCACGCACATTTTGCATTTGCGACCACAAATTATTTCATCCAAGTTGATAACAACTAACATCAATAATGTGGTCGTACATGCTCTTACATGAAAATTGTTCTTTCACCACCATGTTGTACATGGCGCCACCATGTCACTTTTTGCAATACACTGTCATGTCGCAGGGATGTCCAAATCACAGGGGGGGGGGTAAACCCGACCCTCTCTTGCGTTGTATATTGACAATGTATTTGAACACAACTCGATTTAAGAAGCGCCATCTCTTTCTCGCCAGATTCTCATATATTTTTTTCTTGCAAACGAAATTGCAAATAACGAAAATAATTAATAGAATTTATTATAAATAACAAAATTGAGAAAACACACAAACATTTTATATTATATGATTCTCGTGTTATGAGGTTGCTTTGCTTTGCTAGACCATGTAGAGATGGATATGTGGAGAAAATATGTATTTGTCAAACATTGATATCTGTCAAAAGAAACAACGTAAACAACACGAAAAATCTTTGCGCAAATCTGCGATTGCATAGAGAACTGAACACAAGACATGCTAATTACTTGAATCTAATTTTGTTTTTCTCTCGATTTTTTTTTTCATCTCTTAGTCAAATCATAAATGTACACTTATTACAATCATAAATGTTCAGTTCTCGATGCAATCGCAGATTTGCGCAAAGATTTTTTGAAGGAAAAAAAAAATAACAACATTTTTAATTTTTTATTTGCAATAATCACAATAATACCGATAGTTCACCAGAAAAATATTCACTTCGTGTTGTTTACGTTGTTTCTTTTGACAGATATCAATGTTTGACAAATATATAAACGAATACCCAAGTGTGTAAAGTTTCCCTTTGGTTTGCATTGGGACTCAGAGATGGCGCTCGCAAAATCCGATCGCCTTGAAAGCCGACTGTAAGAGAGGGTCGGGTAAACCCCTACCCCCTTCGCACATTACTGCTTTATTATTTGGCCAAAAAACTTGACTGCTCTTAGACAATATAGTTCAGTAGTTATTGAATTAGTATTGCATTACCAGTTCGGTAAAGGAATAAATTTGGAAACAGTGCGGAAAAGTTAGACTCACGGATGTAAGTTCCTTTTTATTTCATAGGTATCACTCCAGATATGAATTTTTTTTCCATAAACCAAAGTCGCCATGTTTAAAAACGCCAAATTCGTGTTCTCTGACCTCAAAATATTGACCGATTACAATACTTTTCACCTTACACTTTGTGTGCGGAAAAGTAAAAAAAGACTCCTGACAAAAACATAATTATCATTTGTTGCGCGAACGAACATTTTTTTGGCCAACGATTATTAAATTCATTCGAGATAATTATTCATTTTATGTATTCAGCAGAGATGTTAACATAGTAGACAGACGTACATCAAATTGCTACAATCGCAATTTGGAGTCTCGCACAAACAGACCATAATTCAATTATCAAACATTTGACTCAATATAATTTTGTTGGTTTTTTTAGTGTACTTTTCTTTAAAAAAATAAATTCATCAATAGAATCAGTATAGTGAATGTATTATCGGTCCAAATTTTGCGATGGAAAAAAGAGACAAGTTGAAAATATTTTTGTTTCAAGCACTGATGATTGTATTTGTGATGCATTCATTGGACACTTTACGTATGTATTTTAATCAGTTTTCTTAAATCAATGCGTTTCAAGGTGTTTCGATTTGATTTATTTGTGTAATTGAATTTAATTTATTTTTTCGCAAAAGATGTTTCGCCACCGAGAATGATTTTGCAACCGCCCAACTACGAAATCATTCGTTTTATTCATGCAAGTTCAAATGGAACCGATAACAGCCTTTTGTTGGAATGTAAAGCCGAGTCAACCATTACAGTGACTGCGACAGAAGGAGATGAAATAAGGTACTGCACATATATGAGTATATAATTTGGAAATATTGAATTTAAACTACCTTAAAAATGTACAAATCTTCGTTCTGAGAATTGCGACGTAAAATCAGCGATATTCAAGAGAAAAACGGTGGTCAAGATTTCATTTTTAGTTGAGAATTCTAGTTTTATTTAAAAAAAAAAAAATGAAAAAAAATTTGCGTCTCTCAGGGAAGTCGAAAACACTCTTATCTTTCGCTCTATACAGAATGATATCAGTCAGTTTTTGTGCCAATAAAATGTGCACAATCAACAATTGCGATAACCGCTAGTTGATACATTTCACAAATCTCTCAATACAAGATCACTCACAAACCCAGTTCTTTTTATTCAAAGAAAGCAAAACAGTTCTTCTGAATTCGATTTTCACTACTTCTATTTAAATATTTTAATCCGAACGAATTGATTCTGAACATTTTTGACATAATTTTGCTGTCAATTAGAAAAATATTTTTTTTTCTTAAATCAATTTCAGTTGGATGGTTCATTCGACAAATTTAACCCTCGAGTCAATAAGACCTTCAAACAATATACTTGATTTCAAATATAATTGGACGAAAGATGGAAAGCCTTTCGATTGGACTGCAAATAGTCGTGTGGAGCTTCGACTCGGCGAGGGAACATTAATCATAAACAATCCACACGAAGAAGATAACGGCCAATATCAATGCTTTGCACAGAATGATTATGGTGTCGCCACATCGAATTCGGTGTTGGTGCGAATATTTACATCGAATCCACCAGAAGACGAAGAACCAAATTTAGAAAATGCCATCGAAGGACGTCCATTTAAATTCGATTGTCAAGCGCCCACTGAGTGGCCAAAACCATTACTCTTTTGGATTAAATTAAGTAAAATCGAGAAGAATATTACGGTGTTTGAGCAGATTGATGACGTTGAACGATTGGGCACCGACCATTCAAGCGATCATATGATCTTAGATCAAAACGGAACTTTATACTTTTCTCAAGTTTCACGTAGCGATGCATCGGATGGTTTTCATTATGCGTGTGTTGTCACAACAAAGTCGACGGATGCATTTCAAATTTTGAAACGAATTGATTTAAACGTAACAAGTGAGCCAATAGCTGAAAACACGTCTCTGCCTAAATTGTTGTTTAAAAGCAATGAATTCGAAGAAGTAATGTGGGGCGAAGATATTACGTTGATTTGTATTTTTGATGTGCGTCAAAATGTGACATGGAAAAAAGACGGAAAGTCCGAGATTGACACATATGGAGTTTATATTAATGATCGATTGCCCGATAAGCAAATGTCATTTACCATAAAAAATGCGAAACAATTCCATTCGGGAGCATACACATGTGCAGACGAGTCTTCAAATCAAACGCATACGATGAGGTTGACGGTGAATGTCCCGCCGTTTTTCATTAACCAGCCAACCGTGCAAAACTTAAGAGTAAACGATACAGCGATAATTAAGTGTTTGGGAGGTGGAATACCAAAAGTTATAAAGAAATGGACTCACAATGGAAAACTAATCGAAGAATCATCTCGAGTAATCTTCAAACAAAATGCGTTAGTGATAAAGAATGTCACTGAAAGTGATATCGGCAATTACGGTTGCAATGTTTCCAATTCCGTTGGATATGCTTACAAAGATGTTTATTTGAATGTTCTTGAGCCATTCCCACCGGTATTCATTGAAACACCCGATCATTTAACGTCACCTATGGTTGGTGAATCAATAATTTTACCTTGTCGTGCATTCGGTGTGCCAACACCTCAAATAAGATGGACCCGAAACGGTCAACCATTGCCAGCCAATTTATACACAACATTTCAAAATGGTGATTTAAATGTTCGTTACGTGGAAAAAGCACTTGAAGGTAAATACACTTGCTATGCATCCAACAATGTGGGTCATGTAAATGAAACGTCATACTTGTACGTTAGAAACCGAAGACAGGTAATCATCGAAAGTGATCGTGGTAGAATTGTGTTTGGCGGTTCGGTGAAATTAAGTTGTGCTGTGCCCGATGAATTTGAAGAATATACCATCAAGTGGTTTTTTAAAATGCTTCCAATAAATGTCGATGATAATTCAAAATTCACTATAAGTGATAATACATCTCTGATCATTTCAAACGTCACCTCGAATGATACGGGCCCCTACAAATGCGAAGCCATGTTTGATAATCAAAAAGAGGAAAATTCTATCTATATACTTGCTGGATATGATCATGAAATTTTCGATAAGATGTGTAACTGTGGAATAATGCGTCGGGATCACCCTTTTTTGGATTCAGAGTATGCAATTAACTATAAAACCCAAAGCAATCAGGATCAATGGAAAACCTATAATTCATCCTTTATACCAATTTCATGGGAAAATTACACATTCAACATCAGTGGGGTGCACGATAAAAATGGTTCAATCATAACCAAAACTGGTCACTGTGTAAACCGTCCAAGTATAGGTCATAGTAAGCTTGTGTGTGAACATACAACATCATCAAATTTGGATATCTCATGGGATTTACTAGAATCGAATTCATATATTGATTATGATACCATTCGAATGTATTATACACGTAGTGACACAAATGAAACACACCCAATAGACATCACTGACCTGCGTAATGGAAAATTTTTCATTTATGTTGACCCAAGTTACTCATATACCGTTTATGCTGGAGTTAGCACGTCACAAATTTCAGAAAAAACTTTTGCTGATTGTAGTCCGCCACGCTTAATGGACAGAATCAAGGAAATGTCGGTGTTTGTTGCCATTATAGGATTTATAATGTCAGTGGCTTGTGTTAAACATTTGATCGATGAAAATCGACGCTGGAAAAAATATTATGATTTCATAACATATTTTAATGTTGGATGCCCCGAAAAATATGATGAAAGTGATCCACTGTATAAAAAAGCACAACATCTTCCCTACGACCTAGAATACGAGGTCAGTAAAGGAAGAATTCACAGAGAAATCATCCTTGGCAGGGGTCAATTTGGAATTGTGCATTATGGAAAGGTAGATAAAATCATGGATCATGAAGAAAAAACGGAGGTTGCCATAAAAACGGTTAAAGACAATTCAGACACAGAGGTATTTTCAATATTCTTCTCACTATTATTTCTCCTTACCAGTAAACATCCCCAGCCTATCACTTCCGATTTTAAAAATTCCTGGTGGATGTGGTAGAGGGGTCCAAAATAAGACATTTTGCATCAAAAAATTTCCCCAAATTAATATTGGTTGTTATATTCGATCAACTCTATCTCGTAAACGACTTAAAATATTCGATTACTCTCTTCGGCAAAGTTGTAGCCCATAGGGAGACGAAAAAAAAATGTCACCACATGAATTTTAAAAATCGGAAGTGATACATTTTTCATGTTCAGTTATGAGGAAATAGTGTTTCAATCGAAATGATCCAATTTAATTGATAATTTACAGAGCTTGCGTGCACTAGTGATAGAACTAAAAATTCTAATTCATTTGGGTCATCATTTGAATGTGGTTCGACTACTTGGGGCAAATACTATTAATATCAAGAAACGTGAGCGATTTGCGCATATTTTGATCTAGACAACGGTTAATGTTTTACTTTACTATGTTCAACAGGTGAACTGTTTGTTATTCTCGAATATTGTCCATATGGCAATCTTCAAAAATTCATAAGGGATCATCGTCAGTATTTTGTTGATCAAATCCTTTATGATGACGATAATATATGGATTGATCAGGAAATAACAACACGATATCCAGAACAATCTGCTGATGACAATGACTCAGGCATCAATAGGTAATCAAAAATAATTTATTTTCAACATCGTGTCACATTACTTATGTCTTTTCAATTTAATATATCCCTAGCGAACAATATCAACCACGAAAGAAATATATCATTACCAGCATACCAGATAACTCTGGAGATGAGAGTTCAAATGAACCGCAATCCAATTTAGGTTGGTGACATTAAATATTCTGTCGTATATTCTCTTATTTCAAATATCAAAACAGTAAAAAGAGTGGCTCCATTGCGTTCATTATCAACCACCGATTTATTGCATTGGTCGTATCAAATTGCACGCGGCATGGAGTATTTGGCATCACGAAAAATGGTACACGGTGACTTGGCAGCACGAAACGTTTTACTTTGCGAGGGGAATGTGGTGAAAATTTGCGATTTTGGCTTGACACGTACAATTGACAAAGACTATATATACGTTGGACGTCAAGAAGTAAATACAATTTTCGTTATTTTTAAGTGTATTTTTCCAATGATTATATTTCACTTAATTTCTTTGATGTACAGTCTCCGTTGCCAATCAAATGGCTTGCACCCGAAACGTACAAAAACCTTCAATTTTGGACGCCTTCGGATGTGTGGTCTTTCGGGATCTTGATGTGGGAATTGTTTTCTCTTGGAAAAACTCCATATCAGGATATAGATCATAGCAACCACAAAAATCTTTTCGAGCGCATAAATGACAACTATCGAATGAAGAAACCAGATTATGCAACACAGGAAATGTAAGCTATTTGCTCATCACTGGGATGCATTTATTCAATGGAATCAATGAAAAAACTCTCGAAAATGCTTTGTAAAATTTTGAACTAATTTCAATTTCTATTTAACCAAACATAGATATGAAATTATGTTAAACTGCTGGCAGATTGTTCCTGAATATCGTCCACCATTCAATCAACTGGCGAGACGAATCACAAGAATGATTGGAAAAGATGTGGCCAAGCACTATGATGATTTGAATGCACCAAATATCCAAGCGAATAGGGAACGTTTTAACTCTACTAAAAACAAAACAAATCATATTTCACTGGATGTTGAAGAAGAACCAACTCCATCAATATCTTCACAATCAACCGATAAAAATCTACCTGAATACATTCCAATGACTCCATTAGCAATGAAATAACTATTCACATATGTGCGTATTTATAATGCATTTGCTGTGTCATTGCTATTTATGGAACATTGGCACAGATAATTCTACATTCCATATTAGAACACAAAATATTGATTGAAAGAAATATTTTTTGAATAAATAAACAACACGATTCATTTTAACGCAATCATTTCGATGTGCTATATGCTAAAAATTATTTTTGAATCATGATTTCATAATCAAACGAAAGAACGTATTTCATTCGTTTATAATTCGACTTTTACTTTTCCGCACACACCTAGTGTGTAAGGTAAAGTATTGGAATCGGTCGAAAAATTAACACCCTCAAAAAACATGTTTTCTGGGTGTTTTAGGAGCCGGGGAACACGAATCTAGCGTTTTTTCGATGTCCGAATGTATGTGCGTACCCTGTACCCTGTACGCAAAAATTTGTTAACACGATAACTTTCAAACAAGAAAAGTAATTCAAAATCTGACTTCACAGGATGATTGGGGGTGCCGAGGAATAGAAACCATTAGATTTTGAGCGACTTTGGTTGACAGAGTAAAGTGTCATGTCTGGTGTGATGCCCATGGCCATCCATGGGAAAAATTCAATTTTTCTTCCAAAAGTGATATTTAATGTATACTTAAACACTCAAAAATGTGTATTGAGGGGTTTTTGGGTACGAGAAAACCGAATATGACGTTATTTTTGCGATACAAATAACTTTCGACACACTTTTCATACAAAAATTTAAAAAAAATTGAATTTATGTATGAAATCCATGTCTGTATGATATCGTAATGAGCTGAAACTTTGCACAGGTTATTTTTATCATATAAAAATACCATTTCGAGAGTTTGAAGACATTTCAACGCATATTAGGGGTACCTCCCGAACAAAATTTTGGATTTTTCGCTCAAAAACGAAATTTTGTATGGGAAGTACCCTTAATATGCATTGAAATTTCTTAAAACTTTCAGAATGTTAACTTTTTGTGAAAAAAATAACCTCTGCAAATTTTCACAAGATTTCGATATCATATAGGCATGGCTGCGATACAAAAATTCCCATTTTTAGTAGTTTTTGTATGAAAAGTGCTTCGAAAATTATTTGTATCGTAAAACTAATGTCAGATTCAGTTTTCTCGTGAATTCTTTGAGTAAAAGATTTGTAATAAATGCATGTTGTGGATCACAGTGCGGAAAAGTTCATCTTACGGATGTAAGACATTTTATTTGAATTGTAGTCACAACACAAGCGGCTGTTTTTAATTCGAAGCCAAAATATTATTCGTCAACCAGTCGGTTGTTGATTCTTTAAAAAATGTAATCATTTAATCGAAATCATTTGCCCTTTAAGATCATTGAATTATCTTATCTAGCAGAATATTTAGCTTAGAATTAAACGATGTATTTTTCAATTTTCAAAGCATCGATAAATGAGCTCGTGATCTAATGGAGGTTGGAGGTTTAAATTCTTTGAAAATATTGAATGAATTATTTTAGTCCACTGAAATACTTAATTTCAATTTATTTGATGTTAAAATTGAGAAAATGAAGTATTTTCTTGCAATTTTCTATCTTCCGCTGTTTCTGATTGGCATTCTATCAGGTATTAAATAGTTGTTGAATTATTTTTGTGCTTTGAAACAATGTTTTTAATATATAAGTTGCCTATATATTAACATTTTGTATGTATATGAACGAACACGTCACTGAAAATTTATATCAGAACATTTCCAGATTTACAGTATTGCGTGGGAACTTTGTAAGAAGTTTTTTTGTACTTATTTACTATAAATTGGTGAAATAAAAGTGAAAATTGTGAAATCTCCAATATTTTTTGTACATAATTATAGCTGGCGGCTTATATTCAAATCGGCTCGTTTGTCAACATTTGAGTGACGTACCAGCCGTATCGAGGATATTTCCATGGACGGTATATCGATTTATTATATTTCTTTCAAGCAATTCAACCATGTTTTAATGTTAATCTCAACATTTAGGCGGCCTTGGAATATCAAAACAGCAGTGAATTTCGTTTTTTGTGTGGTGGCACGGTAATATCCCAGGGCTTTATACTTACGGCAGTGGATTGTGTAGCATCTCGACCTTCGGTTATAGTTCAATTGGGAAATGTGAGTTATATTCGTCAATTGCATTCCAAACATTTGTTATAAAAACTGTTCTCATTACTTTTCCGCACACACCTAGTGTGTAAGGTAAAGTATTGGAATCGGTCGAAAAATTAACATCCTCAAAAATGTGTTATCAGGGTGTTTTTGGGGCCGAGGAACACGAATCTAGCGTTTTTTCGATGTCCGAATGTATGTGCGTACCCTGTACAAGAAAAGTAATTTCAAACAAGAAAAGTAATTCAAAATCTGACTTCACAGGATGATTGGGGATGCCGAGGAATAGAAACCATTAGATTTTGAGCGACTTTGGTCGATAGAGTGAAGTGTCATGTCTGGTGTGATGCCCATGGGCATCCATGGGAAAATTCAATTTTTCTTCCAAAAGTCGTATTTAATGTATTCCTAAACACTCAAAAATATGGGGGGTTTTCGGGTACGAAAAAACCGAATATGATGTTATTTTTCTCACAGAAGACGTCACTTGTAATATTTGTGAACTCTGGTAGTAATTTACTAAATTACCACCATTACAATGTGCGGCATGGTGATTTTTGTATGTATTGTATTTGCTTTGCTGTGACAGCGCTGTACAGTATTACCACCAACACTGCGTTGAGCGATAGTAATATTGCTCAGCAAAGCACATACAATACATACAAAAATCACCATGCCACACATTGTAATGGTGGTAATTTAGTAAATCACCACCAGAGTTCGCAAATATTACAATTGACGTCTTCTGCGAGTTGCGATACAAATATATTTCGACACACTTTTCATACAATAATTTCAAAAAAATTGGATTTTTGTATGGAAGCTATGCCTGTATGATATCGTAATGAGCTGAAACTTTGCACAGGTTATTTTTTTCACACAAAAATAACACTCCGAGAGTTACGCATAATAGGGGTACCTCCACTCAATTGTATTGAAATTTCTTCAAACTTTCAGAATGTTAGCTTTTTGTGAAAAAAATGACCTCTGCAAATTTTCAAATGATTACGATTTCATACAATCATTGAAAAGTCTTTCAAAAATTATTAGTTTTTCGTGAATTCAAATTGAAGTAAAAGATATGTAATAAAAGCATGTTGTGGATCACAGTGCGGAAAAGTTCATTTTACAGATGTAAGACATTTTATTTTTTCTAAAAAAGCTATCTCTGACTGACAATGATAACGATGCCAATCGAATTGTAAATTATGAAGTGGAGGTAAAAAATCGATTAGAGAAGTTTTTAAGTTTTTATCAGTGATGGTTTTTTCCTATTTGAATAGCGCTATGCTGAATCGTAGCGGTTGCCGCACACTTTGTTTGTACCACACAGAGCATATACGTTCGCGTTCGTTCTCTGTTCGACATGCGTTTGTATACTGACTATGGTATTAGTGTATTATACTCTGTTAGCTCACTGGTTACTTAGATTATATGACAATAAAACGCGTATGGCAACCGCTTCGATTCAGCATCTGGGCAGCAATGCTGTACAGACGCTGCGAATAGCTAGCGCTATTCAGATAGGAAAAAACCATCACTGGTTTTTATTCACAGAAGATAATTGTTCATCCCAATTATACGTTTAATTTAAATAATTTCGTACAAAAAATATTGAATGTAATTTAATTTTCTCATTTAGTAAAAACTAAAGGAAGCGTTCTGTGGAATGATGAAATAAGCGGAGGACCACTTACCACGTATAAAATATCGAAAAAAGAGACTATCGTTGGTATTGTTTCATTTGGTGTTGTTGAGAACAAGATAAATTATGACTGTGGCGGAATAATAATATCTGAATTTTTTATCATGACATCGGCATACTGTGTGCGCAAAGAAAATGAACCGACTCGAGTTCGATTGGGACCAGTAAGTAGACGTTTGATCGTTGATTTCTGTTTTTTGAAACTCTTAATATTTATCACAATATCTATCGGCATCCAAATTATACGGAGTTGACGAAACAGAATAACATCGCTTTGATTCGATTGAAAAAGCTCATTCGATTTGCACCGGCTCGATTGCAAATGGAGTTACGTGATGAAGACCCTGACTTGACTCTCTATGCAACTAAATGGGGTAAATGCAACACTAGTATTATTTGTATTTTTTGAGATAATGTTAATATTTTTTATCTCATGGAATTACAGAACCAGACAACATAGCCGTGCTGACCGCCCTTAAGACAATGTCACTTTCCGTATGCAACGAAACGCTTATACATATGAATTACAATATTAGCATTGACGAACGGCAATATTGTGCGCACGATCCGGAAGCAAATGAAGATAGATGTCAACTAAACAGCGGAGAACCACTTATCATTCCCAACATCCACGAACCGCACGATACCACAGTGATTGGAATCGCTTCGCATGGTGTTGGATGTAGGAGAGTTTATACTCGTGTGGCATACTATTTGGATTGGATCGAACCAATTGTTTGGCCACACTAACAAGGGTGCAATTCTATTCACTCAAAACAGAAAAAAAGCACAGCTGAACAATGCAAAGCAAATCGCTCAGCAAGGAAAGAGACCTATTCTGCTTAGCATCAAATTTTCACAAAGGATCGATGTGGAACGACCTTTTGTCCATTCTAGATTGCTTACTTCACGCTGTTCTTCAACGCATTTACCTTCTTTCGAAAAAATTTCCTTTGGTATAGCACAAATTTAGCTGATTTAGATTTAGAATGAAAGACATTACATATGTGTCACAAATAAATGAATAAAACCAGTAAAAAACTGACTTCTTCATCAACATTTTCAAACTATGCTAGACCAATTTGTATGAAAGCTTCAAAATATATTCATAGTATTTTTTGAAAAACACACAATTTGAGTAAAACTTATTCATTTGATGTTCGTTTTATATTTTATTCAATTTTATTTTGAAGCAAAAGATGATAATTTTAATTACATTCCTTGAATGACCTTGAATTTGTTCAGGCATAATTTTCAATAATAACAGTAATCTAATTAGTATTATGATTTCTATATTTTCGGCAATTTTCACATGTGTGTATTTTCATCTGCTTCTTTCCTCTTCACCATCGTATCATCTCACCTCAAATTTTGATGAAGACGAAATCTTGAATTAATCCCCAAATTAATTGATCGCCAATATCATTGTTCGACACATTCAGATCGCTATGAAATTGTATAACGATATCAGATTGCAAATGCATTTCCGAACTCATTTGTATGAAGGTGCAACAATTGGTCGGTGGGTCTTGTTTGAAGCGAATTTCATACAGACATCCAGGTTTTAGGAGAACAGACTTGGTCAATGACACTTCAGTCGGCGAAATCGAGCATAAACGAATCATTGCATTATAAAGAACCACTTCGTTGCCAAGCATTGTCGAATCAGACATTTCAACGATTGTCATTTCTGATGGTAGAGATTCGCTGCGATGCATATATTGATTGTTTTCAATAAAAGTTAGTGCAGTACATGTGAACATTTTCAATACCAGTGGTTCATTGGTCGAGAATCTGGTGGTTTCCATGTTTTTGATTAAATATGGCGAAATCACAATATTATTTGTAACCACACGTGAACATTTGATTTTTTCTAGATTGGTGCGTTTATGGGTAACAAAACCTTCCCGGAGATTTCCGTTGAATAAATTCGCTTGATAATTTTGAATTCCGATTAATTGAACAATTTCTTGGTGTTCATCAAGTGAAAAAAGGCCTCCGTAAGATGAAACGATTTCGGCAAAATCTGCAAATGGCATCGATCGGTAGCGAATTTGAAAGAATAGGTCGCCGAGATGATTTTGTACCGTTTCTCTTGTCAATTCGCTTTCGCCACTGGCACTTTTCAACCACACGATACACGCATTGAAAACTTCTACTTCGGTGCATGACAAAGAGTCCATTTTCAAAATATGTTCAAGCACCTCTTTCTCGCATTCCAAAAAACCGTTCGATGCAAAAACCGTCTTGATATTGGTGCTGACCATCAGTTTGCAGTATCGTTTCAAATCTTCTTGACGATAGAGAATGGCAAGTGCCAATCCCCAACAAACGTTCTCTTCAGTCAGAGTTCGACGTAGAAATTTCGTACATACATTCAAACATTCGGGTACATTGTATTTGTCGCCGAGATACATGACCTTTGCAACGTTGTTCATTGTTATTTTTGCCCGTCCCAAATAGAAGAACTGCAAAAATTCTTTGAATTCAGCGGATGTGGCGTCGGTAATGACAGCGTTGATGTTATCCCAATTATTGACCATTGTATCAAGCACATCACTGACACTGGCCAGAAGAAATGTGTGTACCGGAATTTCTTCATCTTGACCTTCGGCTGACTTACAAATGAAATGAAAATCGGACATCTTCTCCTTCAAATACAACTGTTCACCAGCTATCAAAATACCTTTAATCGCAAAATCATTTGATGTGGTTGACATGACTGCCGAAATTCTCTTTCGAAACAAAGTACTACTGAAATGAGGAATGAATTAATTTATTATTACATAGTGAATGCGTCGCTCACTTTAATCTCCTTTATTTTCCTAATTTAGAACATTACCTTCGATAAACAATTGAATGCAACACCAATCAAAAATGATCAAATTGAGGTTAGAGATAAATATTGTAAGTAATAAGAGAGGGAATAACACAAAATACGCCTCTCCTCACTGACGTTTGGTGGCCGCTGTTCTGTGTGTTGTTCGCTATTCGCATTGTTCGTCTGTATTGGTGTGCCAATTGTATGGCGAGACAGAGATGGGATTACACTACTACTATGTTAGTATGTATTGATGCGAATGATTTCACAATTGTTCGACATACAGCTATTCACTGGTTTGCCATTGGCATTGTCAACCAACACGTTAGGCGACGCCACTGATGAAAAAATATTTCTTTTCGCCTTGTCACAAATATTAAGAGTATAGGAATAAGGTCTTATTGTTATTACCATTTCTACCATTGAAATCGGTGATTTATCGGTATATTGAAGGTAAGACAACTGCAGTTGTTCTGATATTTGAACAAGTCGAACTGAGCTAATGAGAATGCTACTATGAAAATTACGAATGCAAGGAGCAGTAAAGGTCGTAATTTTGAATTTTACCACCAGATGGTTGACTTTTTACAGATGTCATTTTTTATGTGCAAACAAATGTGACAACACCATTGTGTGTTGAAGATCATTAGTGTTAGAAGACAAATACATCCGAGCGATACGTCGAGTGAATTACTTTCATTTTTGCATTCAAGCTGAAAACACCTTCATTTCAGTGAATAATTTAGTGCGCTTCATTTAATTTAACTCTTTAAAGTGAAAAAATCGAAAATTTGTTCTCGTTAAAAATGTACTCATTTTCTGAATTGCCCCATGCAAAACGTCAACAAATCGAGATGGATACGGAGAGCATCACGTCGGGGCCCAAGAAAAGTGATTTGGCACCGAAGTTTTTGCGGAAATTGTATCTGGATAAGAAGACAGCCGACGTGTATTTCGTGTGTGGCGACAAGAAAGAACGTGTTCCGGCCCATAAAATGATCTTATCGAAAGCAAGCAATGTATTTGATGACATGTTTTATGGAAAGTCGGACGAAAAAGTCAACATTGATGTGGAACTACCAAACACTTCAGCCGCTGTATTCAAGGATTTCTTACAATTGATTTACATGGACGAAGTAGACTTCGACACAGCAAATATTCCGGAAGTTATTGGTTTGACGAAGAAATATCGCATACCGGTGAATCGCTTGTTTTACGAATTGAACATTGTGCCCGCGCAAGACTCTCCGGGAAATATTATTAATGCACTTAATGATGATTGCATGCAAGCAATCTTTCAAAAATTACCAAATATTCGAGACTATCTAAATGCGGCAGAGGTATGTATTCGATTCCAAAATAACGCAACAGCAGCTTACCCACCCGAATACAAAACAGTTTTAATCCAAACTTGTGAAGAAAGTAAAAAAAAATCGAATGATTTAGAGGAGTTTCATTTGAAACGTTTTCTCCCAATTTTCGGTTCATCGGTACAGACAATTGCTTGGTATGATTCATCCAGTTCTGATCGCGAACAAGAAAATAAACTTTTCAATATGATCGCTGATTATTGTGGAAATTCACTGACTGAATTTCACATTTCTGATCATCAATTGGATTTTAATACCCGATCTCCATTTGAATCCATTCAAGAATTAAGATTTTATCAATGCGTTCCTTCCAATTTCGGATCATACTCGAAACTAACCAGTTTAATGTTGTTTAAACCAACAACCTTGACAGAAAATCAACTCGTTCAATTTATTAGTTTGAATCCTCAATTGAAAGAATTGAGATTTACTAAACTGAATGGAACGCCAGCGATTTTCGAGCAAATTGCCAATTTTGGACAAAATCTTGAAACTCTGTCATTTGAATTAAATGCATACTATGGCTCTGATGAATTAAAACATCTGGCGAGACTACGAAAATTAAAAAATTTAGGAATACAAAATTACATAAGATATGTTCATTTTAATTCATTAGTGAAATCTCTCACTGAAAATGATGTCCGCATTGAATCATTAGGTATATTTTTATTAAATTTTGAAAATCAATTTGTGCAAAAATTAAAAAAGTTTAAATTGAAGTGGTTAAATATAAATACCGTAAATGTTTCTAGTTCAAGTGAATTGCTAATAAATATTGTGGAGAATATACCCACAATTGAGAATATGAATATTACATTTTTAGAGAATATAGGAGCTGAAACAATAATAAAAATGCTGGAAAAAAAAACAAGTTTAATTGAATTGGAGTTTGGGTGCCGTTCGAATCAGTTTGATATGAATGATTACAATTCGATTGTGGCATTAGCTAAAGATCGAGTTAAAGTGAAAATAAAGTGCGATTCATCTGAACTTAAGCGAGATGTTTTGGATTTAAATCGAAAATGGTTTGATATAGTAGTGCGGAGTAATACAGATTGACAAAATCGATATGTTAGTGGTCAACATATTCAAATTTTTCAAAAAATTTGTTATTAACATATCAATGGGAGTCAAGCTGTTTTTTTCTGCAGTATTGGTAATCAAATCTTTAATCAACATGATTCACCATTTATTTAAAAGCACTTTAATGTTCTCAAAGTATATCAGCAATTTGAATCAATAAAATTTTAAAAAAAACTTTGTCATTTTATTTTATTTTTCATTCATTACAGAACTAACAGAAAATTGGTGTATACCAAAAAATGACAAAATTAAATCGATACCAACACTCTTTCTCTCTATGCATCTCATATGCAGAATCGTTCAACTTCATATCTCGCAAACTTCATGTAGTCTGAAAGGCAATGCTCAAAGTTCTTCTTGTCTTTGTTGTCATAATATTCAATTTCGCTGTCTTTAATGTACATTATAATCGGTTTAATGCCTTTCAATTCTCCCATTTTCTACAAGTAATCCACCGTTTTACTTTTCCGCACACACCCGTTCGAACAATTGGCACCTTTTGAAAGGCGCACGCACCATTTCTACGCCTTTTAATGAAATGACGAGAAAAAGAATGAACAACACATCGTATGACTCGTATATTAGCAGCGTCTACGAAAAACAGCATAGTAGTTCATTCGATTTTATGTATGCCAAAATGCTAAGACCATACTTCTTCTTCGTTTGAATCTTCATTGTGCGGCGAAGATCCGCACAAAGAGGAACAAGAAATACCAAAAATCTAATGAATCTGCGCCTACTATGCTGTTTTTCGTACAAGCTGTTTATATACGAATTATACGACGTGTTGTTTATTCTTTTTCTCGTCATTTCATTAAAAGGCGCGGAAAGGCACGGGCTCCTTTCAAAAGGCGCTGATTGTTCGAACGGGCATAGTGTAAGGTGAAAAGTATTTCAATCGGTCAAAATTTTGAAAACTTCAGAAACATGTTTTCTACCTATTATTGAGGTCAGAGAACACGAATTTGGCGTTTCTAAACATGGTTTTTGTTAATCTGTACGTCGTACATCGTACGCAAAATTTGTTAGCAAGATTGCGCTCATCGTAGAAACCTAATTCAAAATCTGACTTTACAGACTTTGGTTGATGAAAAAAAAATTCATGACTGGAGTGATACCTATGAAAAAGAGTCCAATTTTCGTCCAAAAGTCATTCTTAATGTAGACTTAAACACTCAAAAATATGTATTGGGGGTTTTTTGGCACGAGAAAACCGAATCCGAGGTTAGTTTTGAGATACAATCAATTTTTGTCACAGTTTCCTTGAAAAAATCAGAAAAAAATGAATTTTTGTATGGGAGCCATGCCTGTATGCTACCTTAATACTTTGCCTAGACTATTTTTTACACAAAAAAATAACATTCTGAAAGTTTGAAGAGATTTCAATCAAAATTGGGGGTATCTCCCATACAAAATTTTCAATTTTGGCTCAAAAACGAATATTTTGTATGAGAGATACTCGAAGGTATAAATCGATACTTCACATTTTTTTCTTCTACAATTTCGAATTAATCTCAATATTTTTTCAAAGATTGTCTCCGATCATTTTCATTGTCCAAACAAAAATATTTTAATCGATTTGTTCAATTCATTTTGCATGATACCATCGGTTTGAGTTTTCAATGAATCTCGATTCGATTGAATTAATTCCATTTACATCAAATCTAATGTCATTCTTCTTAGTTCATTCATTGACAATATCTTAAATAACGGCTTTAATAACAATCACTTCGCTTTTAAAAAGTTTGAATTGAACGCACTCTCGAAGTCACTTTTTCGGAATGTGCGAGTCCGTCCTCTTCAATAAATTTGGCGCGATTGTGACAAACAGAAACTTATACAACAACCGAACTGTCAAACGAACCAAACACTCTAATTGCGTCACAAATATTGTCGGTCCGGTTGATGTGCATCATTTTTTTCTCTGATTAACCTAAAATTCCAATCAACCTGAAATTCAACAAAATTTGGGCTTCATTTTACAAATACGGTAAGTATCGTGAAAAACATTCTTTCAAAAGTCGATGGAATCCAGTTCGCTTCAATACCTACTTTGATTTAAAAAAAATACAATAGTTCTTTTCCGTAAAAGAAACCTTTTTTCAATTTTTTATTTCTATTACCGTTGTTCAGTAGAGAATAGCTTTGGTCACCACAACGGCATTATGGATCAAAAAAACATTGATACTCTGGATCTTCTGTGGAAAAAAGAGTCTCGCTACGAGAGCTCATTATACGTGGACATTTTTCGAAAATTGGATTTAAAAAATCGGTACAACGCTCAAACTGAAAGTCAGTATTTTCAATCGACCGAATCTGTAATCGCAAAATATATGCGCGATGAGAAAGATAACGATCAATCAGTTTTATATCGAAAAAAAGGTGACAAATGTTTCAAGGAAACGGAATGGCAAGAAGCGATTGCGTGTTACAATCAAAGTTTGTGTTTTGCCACCATTACTTCCGAGCACATTGGAATTGGTTACGCAAAACGAGCTCAATGCTTCTTTCAATTGAAACGATACGAGGAATGTTTATTGGACTTGAATTTGGCACGACACTCTAATTATCCGCGTCAATATGTGCAATTATTGCAAATGCGGGAAAGAGAATGCATTAAATTGATTGGCCAAGGTGATATAGAGCCGATGACGAAAGTGCCAAAAATAGCATTTTTACCGAGTGAGAAGTATCATGAATTGGCAAATGTTCTGGATTTGACACGCCAATCGGATGGTAAATGGCGTTTTGTTGCAACGGAAGACGTGAAAGTTGGACAAGTGGTAAGTGACTTTAGCACAAGCGTATTTAGATCAATTTTTGAGTGTCTGTCTGTGTTGATGCCAGCAGATGAATGGAAAATTTGCACCTTCTCCAATTGATTTGGTGTGAGAGTGATCAAAATGCGTTTGGAGCTTTGAATATTCATGCCATTTTCGCTCTTACACCTTAACCAATGAGGGCGGGGTCTTCAGACAACACCGGTCCGTAAAACCGTTATTTTCAGTCATCTGCTGACACCGACACCGCGTGACACAGGTACTTATAAATGAACATCTTACTTTCCCTTCCCTTCCAGGTATTGGTGGAGAGTAGTTTCGTGTCATCCTACACCCCTAGTGTGTCCCGGTGTTGCATTTGTTCGGCGGGCCTCACAAATTTGTTGCCATGCTCAAAATGCTCAAAAGTTTTAATGTGTTCATCATGCAACGGATCCATAATCCATCAGGTAGAATGTGACGCTTTTGTACTATTCGATGGCCAATATAAGCTTGCATCCGACACCTTTCGATCGATTTTACTAGCGATGTCATTGTTTGAAAATGCCAACAAATTAATGGACTTTGTCGAACCAATAGTCCATGGTGATTTGGGAAATTTTCCAGCTTTCATAAGCAACGACGATAAATTGACAAAGTATCGTGCATTTTTACATATAGCTCATGGTTTGTTCATGGTAATCGACGATAAGAAGGCAGCATTTGTCAATTACTGTGCACTGATGGGTCATCCGGTTGTAAATCGTTACTTTCATACGGTTAAACATCGTCGATTTTTAATCCATTTGATATTTCATCACATCAGTTCTTTGAGACTGAGCGCTCTCAACTCGATTGTGAGTGGATTGGAGTCACTGGAAGAAATCGATTACACATTTATACTTTCAAGGCATTTTAGCCATTCATGTGCACCACATGTTAGATTGAATTTGATCGAGGGACATATTGCAATGACATCCGTTCGACCTATCAGAAAAGGACAAACTGTTCATATTGCATACAACGAAACGAGTTTATTGAAAGATGTTCAAACTAGACAAGAAGAGCTTAAGGATGATTTGGGACGTAAATGCGATTGTGAACGTTGCAAATTCGAAGAGGTTAATGAAAGAGGAAACGTTAACGCTTTTGAGGAAGACTTTGGAATAACCACAAATATGGACTTTTTATACATTGTAAATGACGTGTACAACAAACAACAACAGAATACGAATGATAAACATGTGGATGATAAAATTGTTAAACGAGCCCAAAGACTACTCGACCAATACGGTTATCAAGAGTGGAACTCATTTTTGGAGATCGTATTCTTCTACTACTACTCCGCACTCGGTAAAAAAAGTGGACAGAATAAGATCACTTTTAGGAGCAATTCAACCATAAGTTTTGACTAAAAATTATGAAAAAAGTATTATATCCAAGCATCTTTGACGATAACAAAAATTTTGATTTTGAATTTGACGATTTTTCCTTCGAGAAAATTTATTTAGTTTCTTTCCATATTTTTAGTTCGTCTTAATCATTTGATAACGTTTAATTTCAACAATTTTCATTGTTTAGTTCAGTATAAACACTAATTTAAATATATATTGGCATTCGATCCAATAGGTAAATTTCAAATATTATTTTCCACCTATTAATTATTAATAACAATCATTTTATTTGGATATGCAGCATGAACGGTATAAATTGTTGATATGATAAAAAAAAAGTAAATAAAATAATGCAAACATTGACTTATAGAAATTTTAGAAAATTTGCAATTTTCATTTGTAGAGAAAAAGTTGAAAGAAAAAAACAGTAAAAATGTCCGAACAAAAAGAATATGTAAAAAATGTACATAAGATCGTGAGAGACGTTCATGACTCGTTGTGTCAAGAGGCAAAAGGTAAGTTGTACGTTGTTTTCAGATTTGCATGGAGACATTGGCACTTACTCCATCGATATTTTACTCCATCGAAAATTGTCGATATAATTCAAAGGATTTCTTTGTACTACAAATTACAATTGCCAAATGAAATATATTTAATTTACACTTGAATTTTTAATGCAAGCAGAGTTATTATGGGCACCTCGGCGATGTGGACATTTTTACTTCTACTATCGTACGTCTCCTGTGCCAATCACAGCTCTGGAAATTTCCATTTGAAATTCCAAAGCAATTTCCATTTACCATTTGAAATACATCAACGAAAACACTTAAAGGGTTTTTACTAAGAAGAATAGTTTAAAGTGGCATCAAAAAGGATCTAATCTATTCCGCTTTCATATTTTATGGAAAAACTTTTTTTTAATTATTCATATTCTTTCAGTTCCTCTAGAAATTGATGACACATTTGATTTTTTCCCCATTTCAAAGTTGCCCTACGGTGAACTCAGCGCCCCTCTCTCTTCACTTGCCTTTGATACGAACTGCAGAAACTGACAATTTGACACATAGAGCTTGACCCGTAAATCATGTACACACACGATACGACCACATTGCGTTGTGCAACAAAAGGATGACCAAACAGTAAATTGTTACAGTTTCCAGACGTCATTAATCCAAATGTCAATTTATGTGTATGGATTGACAATATTATAAACTAGTTTATTTGCATCGAAATACAAAAAATAAAGAAGAAATCGTCGATATCTGGCATCTAATTGTGGTTTTTCACCAATTTTTACATTAAATTTTGTGAATTACTCATTTTCCACGGAAATTGAAATATTCAAGGAAAAGTTCCAGCAAGAGCAGGTTAGTAACACGTGGTTCATATGGAAGATCCAATTGACTGTACGATTTGATATTTTCCGCATTTCTTTATTAAATCAGTTCCATCGACCTTTTTTTCAAAATTTTTTTGTTTTTTGATTTGTTTTTTTTCAACAAAGTGTCATCATTTTCCCCTTTATATTCCAGTAGTGGCTACAATGAATTTACGAAATGGCAAAATAAAGCCGGACTTTATTGATTTGGATGATTACGAGAGCCCGGAAAGGATAATGCCGTACAATACACGCTATCGAATTTCAAAAATAAAAAGCGAGCCATCATCATCTGATGACGACGACGAACCATTGCAATGTCTAGTTGACAATCGTTTTCTACGACCACGTAACCGAGCCACACCGCCGCCATCGATTGCTTTGATCAACTATAAGCCTGAATACGATTCGGACGATGAAATCCATGATGAATCGTCGATCGTTGACATTGAAACTGTACAAAATCAAGTAAAAAGGATCAAAACTGAGGTAATTGATGACGAATATATGGATTATTGCCATAAGCCAGCGTTGCCACGTAAACCAGTTCGAAGTTCAAAAGTTACCCGTCGATCGTCAAAGCCATTGAATGGTCCCGACAAACGTAATTATCAATGTATTTTATGTCGTAAATTTTTTCGATATATGTGTAGATTGAAAACACACATGTCAACTCACACCGGCGACAAAATGTTTTTTTGTGCCCTATGTCCAAAGAATTACACCAGTAAATCATCGTTGAATGTGCACATGCGTGTGATTCATTCGAATAAGAAGTCGGAAAATGTCTCACAAACGAAGCCACTTTTTGTAAATGTCAAAGATGAACCGAAGCAAGAGCCTCAGCAATTTCTCGAATTTAAAATCGAACCATTTGAATATGTCGCCGAAAGTAGTATGCTTGATGTTGAAACATCCGCCATGGAATACACTCCGTTTGTTTGGGATGACAAAGAAGTGGTGTCAAATATGACGACGTCGGTGCCGTGGCGGGATAGTGAAGTGTTGAAGCCGAGCGACAAAGAGAATCGATTGCATCGGCTGTGCCCGACACCAAGGCCAAAAGTCGCATCAAAGTATATGCTGTGGCAGAAGGAATCGACTGGACTGCAATCATGCTATGTGGACATTTTCAAACAGCTAAAATCCAGACGATCTTCATTCGCCGAGATTGTGATCAATTCAAAGAGTGACAAAGCCACCCAAGACAATGTCAAGAGCACTGAGTCGGCGGTTGAAGAACGTGAAATCGGTGACATTGAATTTATTCAAAAGAATTGGCAAGAGGCACGTGAGTGGTACGTATTATTGGTTGTTTTTCGATTATTTTTCGATTATTTTAAATTAACTCGATTCTTTTCTTTTGTTACTCTCCCCTTAGGTACAATCGAAGTATTTGCCATGCAAAATTGGGAACGTTTCATCTCTCCGTAGGTGAGTATTTAAAAATCAGAATGTTTATTTTTTTCAACTGTTATATTAATTGAAAATTTCGATATCGATTAGGTTATGCAAAACGTGCACAGTGCTTCTTCAATATGGGCATGTACAAAAAATGTTGGATCGATTTATCGATGGCCGAGAATTCGGGACTGCCGAAAGAGTTGCTACCGCAATTGGAAAAGCATAAAAATTCCTGTCGAATGATGCTGAAAGTAAGTAAAATAAACGACGATATCGAGCCGACTCTCAGTTTCACCGCCGATCCAATGTTCCCGGAAATGGCCCATGTGCTGGAAATCACCTGCAACGATACATACGGACGTCACATCGTTGCCAAAGAACCCATTGCCGTTGGTCAAATTGTCTTAATCGAAAAAGGATTTGTATCGACCACAACCGAATATTATGTCAAGTGCTGCATATGTTTAACGGCCGATACAAATCTGGTGCCGTGTTCAAGGTGCTGCAAAGCAATGGTTTGTAAGCGATGCACCACCCGAAAATACCATCAAATCGAATGTGAACTTCAATCGACGGTGAATTGTGATAACAATCATTGGCTCATCAAAGTGATTCGATCGATTTTATGTGGAATTGCTCTGTTCAATACCATTGAAGACTACATACATTTCGTGGAAATGGCCACCACTTTGAATTATACCGCCATTCCCGACACCATTCCCGATATGAAATCGAAATATCGCGCATTTTTACAATTGATCCACATGCCGGCGCTGCAGAATGACGCAGTCCCTCTGGCCAAAAAACTAATGACCGCATTCTTGAACCATGAAATCGTCGGACGGATTTTTAGGTGAGACTCATGGTTCTTTTTTTTTTTTAAATATTTGTATTATGGTTGAATTCTCTCTTAATTCCAGTTCGATGAAACAACAACGCTTTTTAACGCATTTAATTTTACATCACTTTGCAGTGATTGAAAAATTTGGCATAAAGACTTTTGATAACGGTGAAAGTGGTTGTGTCGAAATCACCGCACCAATCTCATCATACTTGAATCACTCGTGTGCACCGAACTGTTCCAAATTTTTACTCGCCAATTCAATTATCGTGGTCACCATGCGTCCCATAAAAAAAGGCGAACAGCTATTTGTTAGCTATTGCGATATCCGAAATAGCGACAAGGAGCGTCAAAGTATTTTACGTGAAAAATACGAATTTGAATGCCAGTGCGAGCGCTGTACATTGGCACAATCGCCAACGATTGGTGCACAACAAATTCAATTGTTCGATCGAATTCGAGCAGAGGTGAGCATTTCAAAAGACAAAATTGTTTTTTCAATGGTTTTTAATTGGACATTTCAATAAATTCGATTAGGTTACCGAACGTTTTATTCAAGAGAATTTTGAATATTTGGCCAGCAACGATCAGGACAAACGCAAAGAATTGTCGGAGCGTGTAATGGATGTTTTATACAATTTTGGACGAATGCCATGGAATAACACTGTTGAATGGGCATACGTGGTTTACAGCATTATTCTCAGTCATCGCTTTCAAAAGAAACTAAAGTATTGAAAATGCATGAACTTTTTCGGATTTTTGAGACGGACAACAATACACAACATTTATGTCATACATTTTTATCAATTTATTTTTTAAGAAAATACCATTCTCTATATATGTGAAAAACGTGTTGCACTTTTTCAACAGTAACACTTTGTGTTTTTGACTAGAATAAGACGTACAAATTAGTCCAGGGACTGGAATTAAGGAAAATTCGATTGAATCATCGAATCAACATAACAAAAATGTCATAGCCATAGAATTTTGGATATTAGACCGTTTGCCAGTTGAGTAATCGAGTAATAAATCAATCTTGATTATGAAGAAATCAAACAAATGTACAACTCGATACACGAGCTTCAAAATTCTTTTATATCAATTTTTCGTTAAATGTTTCGTTTAAAAAAATGTTTAAAATTTAAGAAAAAGAAATAAATTTAAAAGAATTAAATTTATCAAAATCAACACAAATCATTGTACATGGCTCATACATGTTTTATTCTAAATGAAAAGAAATCTAATCTTTATAAAATTCTCCAGCACCCAGTATTGATTAAAAAAATCCTCAGAAAAAAATTCAATCCAAACAAATAAATGTCAAAATTAACTGACTGAACGATCGAGAACAAACACCATGGAGCGTCCACCGATCATCGTAAAGTGGAATTGAGGGGAAATTCATTCGCGCAAAAAAATCGCATCTTTTTAACATACGAATTGAAGTTGGCTTGGCTAATTTATGCTTAATACTTCAATCGAAATGAATCTTCACGTATATCTTTGAATTCCCGAAAAATATGAACAGAAATAATTTTTTAAAAAATGAAAAAAGAAATTATCTAAAAATCAGACTGTTTCTTATGAAACTTAGCTTCTTCACAAGAATAGAAGAGTGAGTATATATTAAAAGTTAAAAAATAATAAAATTCATAATATTATTAATTAAAATTTGGATATCGTAATTTTAACAAATAAATTAATTATATTCGTTTGAGATAAGACTGGTTTTAATTTTTGGTTTTACCATTTTTGATCATGAATTTTCAGATCTTCAACGTTTTTTTGTTTTAAAAAAATAAGCTTTATCACAAAGTCATCGGTAATTTATTGATGGGATTAGTTCGCCAAGAGTGAACAGATTATGATGATTTAGAGGTTTTAAATTAGGAAAAATTCTGCATTTCAGACACGTCCAAATGACATAAGTTCACTTTGATTCATGATACAAACTGTATTCTCATAAAGACCAACTCACATCTGGTCCAGATTTGGAAGACTAACTTCACAATGCCATAGCTTCATTTGTCATTCTTAATTTTTCCACATGTCACCATGTCTTCCGGTTATGGACCCCATAAGTTTTCAAAGCTGTAACACACTCGCATAGCTTCATTCGTTCGCTGACTATCAAAGCGTCCACACGTATTTTCATTGTGTAGTGTTACAAACCAAAAGGGTAAGCTGACTTTGTTTGTTTTTTTACCGATTTTTTTTTAATCTTCAAATTTGCACGGCGGGTTTCCTAGAATTATTTTTTTCGATCAACATAAATTTGAGAATAAACAGTTATTGCTATTTTTCGGTTAATACAAAAAAAAAATTGGAGGAATTTCTTTTGAGAATTTTTTTGAAGCAAAAATAGAAATTAAATATGAATAATTATTGTGCAAAGGTACGGTTGAGAACTTAGTGGGGTTTAATATTGAAGATTATAGAGAATAAGGTGTTCACAATCAAAAACTCGTATCTTTTCAGTTTTACAGAGAAATCGGTCAGAGTGTTAATGCATAAGTGATCGCAGCATAAAACTCATTAAAATTATTTTCTCTCGAAATTCCAGTGAAAAATGTCTGACACAACGTCCAACTCATCGTTCAGCAATAATCGTCGATCACAAGCGTACGCTAAAACTGGAATTTCAAAATGTAATGTTTGCAAATCTTGGGTTCCATATACGTCATTTTCTGAGCACATGGCCCTCAAACATCATGTCAAGGCGGTGAATGATTCCGATCAAAATGAAGAAAATGCGTTTGTGAAGCCAAAAAGTCGCCGTAATACCGCTGATACACGTAAGGCGTTTAGCGAGATTCGATTAAATAAAATCGTGGACAACACCGGCGATCCGGTTTCAAAGTCTGTCTCATCGAAAATTGATCGCAATGATGTATTTCCATCGAAAAGTCATGTAAAAAATCACTTCGTGGATAACAACAACGACGGATCATTCACAGAAGACGGTGAAAAAATCCAAACCAACATATTGACTGGGGTAAATGACATTTATCGGTCGGAATTCCGTGAACCGAAATTGAACAAAAACAAACGCAATGCTCGAAAATTGAAGGATACAAAGAAATCGGTCGCTGCGGAAATGGCCGATGAACCGATGGTGATGCCCGTTATAAAGCCAGAACGTGAAGGAAGAACAATGCGACGCACGGCCGATATGTATGCCAATAAAAAGCCCAGTCGTTCGGCATCGTACATGCGTCCAACTGAAGTTCAACATCATGTTCAACATGGAATGAACAAACCGCCACGTCGTGACATCAGCTGGAATCAACAGTCCAAACGCCAAATTCCAACGGTTTTTGATATGTTCAACATGGGCCGTTCGAATGCGGTCAATTGTGGTCCATATCCGGAAATGCGAAAGGTCGATGATGAATTACCTGGATATGAGAGCGCAACACAACAGCGTTCGCCACGAAAACCAATCATTCCTGAACATTGTGTCAAGTGCCCGGTTTGCGAACATATTATGCACAAGGACCATCTCAAGGTAAATTGATTTCATTCTCTCTCTCTCTCTCTCTCTCTTGCGGCAAAGTAACCGAAAAATAAACGAAGAGGAATCTATCAACAATAAAATACATTTTCTCATCTCAAGGGACACCTTCAACGCAAACATTATGCTGAAAATAATGGTGTTCCCATCATCTATGAAGGGTATCATAAGTGCGAAATTTGCCAAAATTTAATGCCAAAGGAGCACATTCAAACGCACATCGAACGGGCACATGGCAACGAAATGCAAAACAAGGACACTTTCATTAACTGCAATTTGTGCGAAGCATACATGCACATTGTAAGTAGGAGTATTTTTAACTTAATATTTTTTTGTTAAACATTCCTTCTATCTAAGGTTCTAGTTCACTCATTGTTTACATTTTTTTGATTCAATTTGATAGGACTATATGCCAGGGCATTTGGTGCGCAAACACGCGAGACATGAGGGTTCGGTTGGTATCATTTGGCCGCAATACTCCGACGATCAAATCTACGACTGGCTCAGGACCGGAGCCATTTACATTCGCGACGGTACTATCTTTGTCGACCATACCATGTGGCGCTAATCAAACATTGCATTTTCATGCAAAGTGTAAACAACATTCAATTTTTACTATTTTTTATTCCATTTTCAATACTCAATTTTATTAAAAGTAAGCGATCAATTGGCCACAAAGCACAGCTTTTGCCTATCACGTACAAATAATTTTTAATGCATCAAATTGCATGACATAATCATAATTTGTAAAAAAAATCAATGAAAAATTGTTGAAAAAATGCCATTCCAAAAAAAATCATATGATCAAAAAAATGTCAATCTTGAAAAAGTTGACCAACTAAACAGACAAAATCTATTTTCAGTGAAATTATTAGGAATAGTGAAATAGACTGAATCTACAGAGCAGCGCTGTTTTTTCAGCTTCTATTCATAGGCGCTTTTTGTGTATATTGCATACCGACAGCGATTTTATGATAAAATGCCGAACGAAATGTCCGGAATGTAGAACAATCGGCCTATTGATTTGATATGCTCCAATCAATGGGTCTATTTTTCTACATTCCAAATTATTCGCTTGGCTTTTTATCATAGAATCACTGTCGCTATGCATTGTACACAATTAGCACTTATTAACAGGAGCTGCGATAATAGCGCTGCTCTGTAGGCTGTTCAGTCTATTTACTGCATGATTTATAGTCATAATAATTTCAATGAAAAATTGTCGCAAAATTCTAACTATTTTTAATTCAATCAAAACGGATCAAAATCAATCGCAAAAGGTTGACCAAAAATTAGTCGAACCGAACAGACAAAAATCCATAAAGAAAAAATTGACCAAAAGTTTTTTTTTTCATTTTTTTTTTTTCGAAGAAAAAACAACTACAAACAAACATATTTACAACTAAAATTTTACATGAATCAAAAGACAGCACAGACACTCAAGACTCTAATAATAAACTTATGTAATTCCCTACATTTATTTATAGAAACAAAAACTCATTTTTTATACGAATAAAACACACAGTAACTGTCCTAAAGGCAGTTAAAAAAATCCCAAGAATTCATTTGTTTATGAAAAAAGTTTCTTTTGTTTATACAAAAAAGTGTACGTCAATGAAGACCCGAATAAATTTATTTCAGATTTGGATGGAGAATTTTCAGTGTAAGTAATACCAAAGAGCAAATTGTGAATTTTTTTTTCAAATTGTGAAAAAAATCCATGGAAAATTCCAGCATTCAAAAAAGCTATTTTCTCAGAGTCAGAAATATGCCGACGTAATAGGAGAAGATCAGATTTTCTATGGAATCGATTTGCATAAAATATGAAAAACTGTAATCATTAGAAAAAACTCTCGTATTCCAAATTGGTCATAAATTTGACAAATACAGCGATTAAATCATAATTTATAGTCGTTTGAATTGTTGTGCTAAAATCATACGGTCTCATATTGCTACATGGGAATATGAGAAAAAAACTACGCTTCTTCTCACGCCAGAGCCACTCATAAACGACGAGAGCTCAAAACGAATACAAATAAACAAATCGGCAAGGTTGATGCTTCATAGACCATTAGTATGTATGACAAAACGTCGTTCTTGGAAAAATGTTGCTTTGGAATTGCCGTTATCGGCGACGACGTGCGATTGGTGTGCAAAGGTATGAAAGAGAGCGATACATGATGATGTTATTAGACAATAAAGTGCACAAATACGCAGACAATGTTGTTTTGTGCGTACATGAGCGTGTCTTTTCACCGATAAAAAAAGTCAAATGTCATCCGACTTTTTGCTAGCTATACACTGTGCAATTAAATTGCTTCGAAAGGTACGCTATTCATTTTAAAACAAATAAAAAAATTATCGATCGCCACTAAAATCGATGTATGGCTTTATATTTCAGTGGGACACCATCAAGAAAAGCCGAAAAATTTGAAAAGAATGGCAATTCGATGTGGTCTATGTTCAAATGTGATGGTTTCGGAACATTTTTTCAGTCATCGAAAGCGTAAGCATTCAGATTTCATAACTTATTGATTCATTTCCATTATTTCGATTCTTTTTTATGTGATAAACCATAGGTAAGCATCCACATGAATTGAATGTACCGTTCACAGCAGTATCCGATGACATCATTAAATCGAAACAAGTAGAAAATGTTAAATATGTAAGATGTCGATTTTGTCCGAACGACGTGCCCGTTAAGTCATTAGAAAAGCATCTCGAACGATGCCACATCGATTGCGGTGTTTGTGGTAAAACATTGCTTAAATCAAAATTAGATCAACATATGCGAAAACATAACAAAAAACAAAATCAAATGAATACGTCAAGCCCAATCAAGGCAGACGTTGAAAATTTGGCATCAGAAATGAATGCAATGGCAATGCTTGATAATCCATCACCAATTCGACCATCACCATCATCGACACCGTCATCGCCATTACGGACCAAAACACCATCGCCAAATAGAAAATCTAATATTGTTCGGTGTAACGAATGGCAGCTACACAATTACATTCGACAAGGTCGTGTTTATACCAAGAATGGTTGCTTGTATTTACGAAACATATGAGAGTTTTTATTTGGATTTTATTTTTACCAAATTAATTTTTGTTCAACCAAAAGAGATTCTCTTGCGGTTTTTTAAATAAAAACAAAGTTTTAACATTTCAACAACTCTTTTAAATTAAAAAAAAAAAAACAACATAACGATATCATTGGAATAAAGCAAAACATCAAAACTAATCGATGAATAAAGAATTTCATATATAAATCGATTTCATGGGAATTGTTTTTTTTTTTACACCGAAGACCAAATTCATAGGAAGGAACGGCTTTGCTGTAGTCATTGGCAGAGTGTCTTGTGAAACCACAATAGAAAGTGGGAACGTCATCAAATTGTCTGCATTATATTGTATTATTAGCGGCAGTATGTCTGGTACATTCGATCATATGGTGAGTATTTAAATTATGATTCTACCATTTTTCATTGCCGAACGACCGAATACTTTCAATCAAAACGTATTTTGACTTGATTTTCTTGATTTGGACTTTTAATTTGGCTGTGCTTTTCTCTCCAAATCGAATGGCTCATTGAATTTTACTATATGCTCCATATACTGAAATGAACTGTATAAAAACAACGAAACTTGCTTATATTACTTTTAAAGTCTGGACAGTCGAATGATCATATTATAGACAACGCGATGTTTTTGTGACCATCAATAATTTACTTACGATGTTTATTTGTTTCAGAGCATACCAAACACTCCAGCTATGAGTAATTTAAAAAGCAATTTGCTGATGGGTCTAATTAAATTGAAAGAGTGCATTAAAAAATATTGGAATTACTCCCTGCTTGATATAGTGGCATGATTAAGCTGCAGCTCCTTGTTTTTTTTTTGCTGATATTTAAATTTGGATTATTTAAATAAAAAAAATGATATTTAAATTTGGTGACCATTGAAAGCCTGATTGAACTGAAAATGAGCAGTGTATCACTGCACAATTTATCGTTACGGGATATAAAACTCAATCGGCTTGTAACAGACACCAAATTTCATTAGCTGCTAATTTTAAGACAAATTTCAATATTTTAGTACAGATTTGGATCTCTCACTCAATTCTGGAAAGGATAAATTAATAAAGAGTATATTACAATTTTCTAATGCAATATTGAGTGCAACTATTTAGTAAATAGACAATAGTTGCTGATGTTGTCTATATCTTTATTCCTAACACTTTTTCAATAAGCTCTATTTTTCAATAAAATCGTCCAACATTATTAGTAAAATTTATGTCCTGGTGTCTTCCATGATTGGGATATATACTTATAACTTTGGCATGGTTGAAATTGTCAAAATGGATGGTTTAGACGATTGGCCTGCTTTTCGGTTCCTGATGCGCTCACTTTTTCTGGTTGGTTGTTCATACGTATTGACCTGTTTTGACGTTTCTGGTTTTTCATTACGATTGTCATCTTTTGACATTCCCGGATGAACAAACTGATTGGCCTGGTTGGATGTGCGTGGTTGAGTATTACCATTGGCTTGTTTTGAAGTAAATGGCTGTGAATCTCGAACGACCCCTTGTGACGTTTCTGATTGAACATTAAATTGGGCCTGTTTTGATGTTACTGGTTGGACATTAGGATTGACCACATTTGACGTTCCCGGATGAACAAACTGATTGGCCTGGTTGAATGTGTTTGGTTGTGAATATAAATTGGTAGCTTTTGACGTTCCTGGTTGAGCATCCCAATTGGGTTGTTTCGATGTACTTGGTTGTGAATATAAATTGGCCGCTTTTGAAGTTCCTGGTTGAACATTAAACTGGACCTGTTTTGATGTTCCTGGTTGAGCATCCAAATTGACTTGTTTCGGTATACTTGGCTGTGCATATCGAATGACCCCTTGTGACGTTCCTGGTTGAACATCAAATTGAGCCTGTTTTGATGTTCCCGGTTGAGCATCCCAATTGGCTTGTTTCGATGTGCTTGGCTGTGAATATAAATTGGCCGCTTTTGACGTTCCTGGTTGAACATTGAATTGGACCTGTTTTGATGTTCCCGGTTGAGGCTCCCAATTGGCTTGTTTCGATGTACTTGGCTGTGAATCTAAATAGGCCGCTTTTGACGTTCCTGGTTGAACATCAAATTGAGCCTGTTTTAAAGTTCCCGGTTGAGCATCTCCATTAGCTTGTGCCACTGTTTTTGGTGCGCTTGGTGTCTGCACTGCGTTGGGTATCACGTTCTGATTGGCATGTATTGTATTTGCCCAGTTGATAAATCCACCCGGTGCATATTTATCTTCCTTTTTCATCTTTGCCTTTTGTTTTCTGCAATGTTCATTCGTTAAAAAAAAGTTTATAAATTTGTATGGTATGTTTTTTTTAATGAAAATTGCCGACCAACCTATTGTGATCGTCTTTAAGTTTAAATGTTTCACGAATTGCTGCTGGTAGTTTGTCTTTAAACATCGCTGCGATTTTTTTACACGCAGCATTTTTCAGTCCTCTGGCATTCAGATAATTGCAAGCCTTGATTAGATCGAATATGTTACCTGCATTGAAGTGAAAAATTGACAAAGAGAATTAGTAACTTAATAAAAGAAATAGATTTCCCACACAAGGCATATTTTTCGATCGTAAATTGATCTCTTGGCCAAACTTAATTCACCTTGAGGAATGTTTAGTAAATCAATATCCCACTGTGGAAGGGGATCGACGCGTTTGAAGACAAGACCAAGGTCATCGGGCTTTGGATTCTGAAGTGCATCATCATCATTGTACATCTCAACTGGATCTTCTTTGTGGTATTCGCACCATCTTATGATACGTCTCAAATGATGCCATGCCACATTAGCTACAGGAATGACAATTTCACCATCCCCTTCTGCTCCACCCGTGTCATTTAACATTGTATCGATCATTATTATGTGCTTAATAGCTTCACGGCTAATCTCGTAAATTCTGTCATCGCACGATTTTAATTTGATGATTTTTGGCATTTTTTGCACTAGTTAAATACAAATGAACAAATAAAGAGAGAAATTCAGAATTTCAAATTTAAAAAAATAATAATACAGTCAAGTGTACAAAAATGAGCGAGAGAGTTTGTTTTTCTTTACTGGTAAAGTACACCAACAACAAGAATGCAAACGTCAAACTGTACTTTTATTGTCTCTCTTTCTCAGGCCAACAACGATAAATTAAAATAGCATTTTACACTTTACCTTTCAAAATTCGGCCAGAAAATTCGTGAAAATAGCCTGCAATGGATTTTCAATAGAATGATAGTTTTCGAAGCGACGGGATTTCAATTGGCACAGCACAATAAACACACAATAAACTATGGACAGTGATAACAGTGTATCGCTTTCAGTATTGTCCGATTGGTGATTAAACAATGTGTAAATAATAGGAAATTTTTGGGATTTTTTTCAATTGTACGTAACTACTTCAATTCGAAAGTTTTTTATGTTTTGTTCACATTGAAATATTTTTTCGTGTATTTATAAGTTAGATAAAAATCGAATTTCCACCGTCATCATAAATTGGTTAAAAAATCATTTTTCGGTTAATTGCGCTAAATTTAACGCGACTAAATTGCCAAGTACTGGAAATAGAGCAAAATGGGCAAATGTTTCAGTAAAACCGATCTTAGTTCGGTCCAAGCTAATCATTCCAATGTGACACAACCAAGTGAAGAAAGTTCGAGTAACTCACAAAGCAGTGAAGATGATAGTTCTCTGGTAAGATAAACGCATATCTTTCTATTTTTCGTGGAACAAAATACTCTCGTTATTGTTTTAGTTAGTAACAATACATATTTATAAACATTGCTTTCGTTTCCAATCAGTTCGATGTGACACAACCAAGTGAAGAATTTTCCAGTAATTCACAAAGCAGTGAAGATGAATGTTCTCTGGTAAGAAATGCATCTGTTTGTCAATTTTTCTAAAACTTACGCTCGTTATTGCTTCAGTAACAATGAATATTTATGATATTGCTTTCGTTTAAAATCAGTCCGATGTGACACAATCAAGTGAACAGTTCAATATGGTACAAATAATTGAACAATTTCCCAGGAATTCACAAAGCAGGGAAGATAAAACTTGTGTGGTAAAATGTTCTATTTTTTGGAGAGAAAAAATTTACTCTCGTTGTCGTCTTAGTTATATTACTACTATTGCTTTCGTTTCCTATTGGTTCCGTGTGCTTGTGTCTTTCAAAATGTTTACTTGACGATGCCAACCTTGTCGATGTGTGGCTGGCAATGATAGCTTGAGCTGACGAATGTACTGACTTCAAAGCAGTACCGCGATCTTTAATTTTTATCGAAAGACACATCCATAGAACATTTTTTATACGGAATTTAATGGTGTAAAGTAGCATTTTGTCAGAGCGATCGAGACAAAGTAATGAACAAAACCAATCATTGGCATATTGGAAGAAATTCAATCTAACGTTCATCGTTCATTAATTTTCAGTTTATTATTGATGTTTTACTTTTCCGCATATCCATTGTGTGTAGTAAAGTTTTTCTATAGTGAGTGCAATAGTAGCAATCTGTTGTCCAAAAATGACACAAGGTTTTCCACGTGAAATACGCAATCAAAATCATAAATAATCGATGTTGAAGTGACAGTTACAAACTGTTTGTACAACAAATGCAAACTATTGAATCATCGATGTTAACTGAAATTGAACGAAAAACTATAACAACCGAGAAACGATCCTAACAATTCAAATACATCGAATCAATCTACATTCCGAACGTTTCAATCAATTTGTCATAAAAACTAATTTATTTCCATATTTAAAGAGTAATTCAAGAAAATCCAATTTGACAAATTTTCAGCTGAGCTCACTGTGAACGAAATATAGAGACATATCTGAAAATCGGTCTTCAATTAATTTTCTTCGTATTTTTTAATATTTATCATCTTGAATCTCACTCGAACCGCCACCATCTTAAAGAACCACCCCATTGTCTCAATTGGGTATGAAAGATGTGACGTGGAAAAGTCAGTGGCAAAAATAGACAAAGCTACCTTTGTGCAGAAAAGTACTACAACTTTATCCCACTCTGTTCTAAATTTTCACCAGATTTTCCAAAAAAATATTTCAATAGTTTGTGAGGCGACAGACAGAAACTATCAGTTGGTGCGATTATTTCTTTGCAAATACAAATTTTATTCAACTCACATTCACTGGAAGCAGACAATATATTTGGATTTTGTCATCTGGATATTTCAGCTCATCTGGATGACGTCAGGCGATGATACGGAGTGAAAACAATAGAAGTGATTGTTATAGTTATGGTTGTATTTTTAAATCTATACAGTACAACAATCACTTCTATTGTTTTCATTTCGTATCATCGCCTAACGTTATCCAGATGAGATTAAATATCCAGATGACAAAATCCAAATATATTGCCTGACTGGAAGGTATAAAAATATAGTCGGTTTTTCATTCAACGAATTTTTTCTTCTGTTTTCTTAAAAAAATTGGACGATTTTTCACAAATCCAATAAGATTTGCTTAAAAAAATACAAATTTTTATCTATTGAATCTGTATAAATGAAAATCTTTCAATATACCTGCATCAAATGCTATTCAAACTGAAAGAAAAATGATCGAATAAAAAAGTTGCATTTTTCAGTCGTTTTTAGTACATACAGAATATTTATTATAAGATTATTTTTTGATGTTTTAATTTGTGTCAGCGTCGAATTGATCGCATGACATACTACAGGTAAATGTGACAATCACACCGTGAATATTGAATTTATATACATATAGATATTTTATAAAATTATGACCAATTGGTCCCAACGATTTTCGATCAACTAATTACACAACTTTGGATCACACATTGACTCCACTTTGAGACATTCTTCTATGTCATTCGGTGTCAAATCTTTGTTAATGTTGAATGTTTGGCGAATTTCATCTGGTGATTTGCCCTTTATCATGTTTGCCACCGTTTTGTAAGCGGTTTCCAAGAATCTTTTCACATTCAAAAATTCACCGGCGACAATGAGTTCAAACAATGTAGCTGCAATGTGAAAAAAAAATCCTAAATGGATCGATTTGATGTTAAGATAAGAGCCAATTCAATCTCACCTTGATCAACCGTGAATAATTCTTGATCCCATGCCGATATTGGAACGTTTCGATTTGGGTAGTAGTCATACATTTCTTTTTCCGGAATAGAATCGTCTTTGTGATGTTCGGCCCATTTTACAATGATTTCCAGAATGGTCGAGTGGACTCTTTTCACCGGTATGGCATCGGTAATCGGAAGATTGGTTAATTCGATCATGCAACAAAGAGTTTGCAAGTGTTTGAGCGCTTGTGGACTTATTTCCAATATTTTATCATCGGATGACTTCAAATTGAATTTATTCGACATCTGGAATAGAAAAATCATACATTATCATTTCAAGAGGGGCTTGAAATCGTATCAAAAAATTACAAATTTCATGCTTGACACATTTTTTTACATTTCTCATTGAAAATTTGACCATCGAAACTGTGTCCGTCACACAGTCGTTTACACAGAAAATAAGACTGTGCCCTGTGCCGTCACTTGTTTCAATTGGAAAATACACAAAAAAACAAGCACATTTTAAAACGGTACTTTTATAATTCACAATTGTTCATTTTCTTCGACAAACAAAACGACGATTATTGAATTGACTTACCTTTGAAAATTGACCAAAAAATGATGCAGAAACAATGACTTGGTGTTAATTTTCCTTTTTTGATATGAATCTTTGTAGCAGAGCGTTTGGCTGGCGTGTAACAAGTAAATGCTGTAAACTGCTGACAGTGTATCGCAAGTGCTATCGCTGTCAGTTCGTTTTGCCACGTCAACACATTTCTGATAAATGGGATTTTTTCGCAACGTTTTTTTTTCGCTTGTGATTTTTCCAATTTCAAAAAAGAAATTTGAAATTAAAAATGTCCGAATTTTTCAAATTGGAACCAGAAGGTATCGAAAAATAAAGAGTATTACAGCAACAAGAAAAGTAAAACTCTTTTGAAATAATGAAAAAAAAAATTACATTGAAAAGTGCCGAAGCTAACTTCAAAACAGTTCTTTTAAAATGTCATATGAACGCTTCATTTTATATCGTCGAATTGTTTGGCGCTCAATCATATTGTGCGGTTAGTTTGCTTTTGATATTTGCTCAGTCATTATGATTTTTTTCGAGTTGCAATATATAATTGGTGAAATATGTGATAATGTTTCGCAATTTTTCACGAATTTATACGTACGTCATCCCTCATCACCGAAACCGAAACCGAAAGAAGATAGTCCAAAGATAATAAGAATTAAAAACGATCTAGCTAAAAATATTCGATTAACTAAACAGAAAAGAGAAAAAATAAAAGCGGCATTAAATAAAACAATTATACCACCAAAAAAACCGACACCAACTGCAACAATTATACCAATTAAAATAAAGACAATAACAAGATCAGACACCAACTCATCACCAAGGCTATTTGAATCAATCACAATAATTGAGGAGGTAATTGGCATTGTTTTTTGTGCAATGTTTGAACAAAGTCAATGAAGTGACTTACAAATTCAAGTCAGTTAACAAGTGGTTTTTAATGGAACATTAAATAACGGTGCCTTTTTCCATGGCAATGTTTGCTTCAATGCACTAGTCCTCTCGATAGAAATTCAGCGAAGGTCAACCATAGTTTTCCGTTATTGTTTTTAATATATTACGACACCAATTTATGTGTATTTTTCGCTTGTCTAATTTTCAGGATATCGAAAATCCGACCATCAAGATTTCGTTGCTTGATCGAGATGTTGAATGTGAACTTGAAGCCGCCCAACATATTGGAGCAATTAACGTAATGTTAAGCAATATGGATCGTGAAAGATGGACTACAGAGACCATACCTCTCAAAAAAGTCGATTATATTCAATATTGCCTGATTTTGCATTGGATATCCAAACCACATACGAGTTCAAACGACGAGGAAATAGATGATATTGTACAATGGGAACTAAATTTCTTGGATGAGATTTCACAAAGTGAGCTTATTATACTTTCTTTTAATACGCGAATTTTGAGCTGGTGGAAAATGTACTGCAGCATTATCAGCTAGGTTTAAACAAGCTTTCTGGGTTCATTGAACTGAGCGAAGCTCGATCAGATATTGGATGAAAATGTTTCAGTAAAACATTTTCCATACAAACGCAACTGCTGAAAATTCGAATAGTTGATTTAAACATTGACTTGACCCTTTAGTAATGTATGACCTTTTTACATATATTTAGAATATCCCGAGAGATTTTTAAGATTGATCAAATTGGCCAACTACTTGGACATACCAACATTATATACGGCCACAACAGCACATGCAGCATATATGTTGACTCAATGCAAACCCGATGCCATTCCAGCAGCGATGAGCCAGGAAAAACTTCAATCTTTCACAAGAAAACTTCCTTTCGAACATGATGACGACGACGACGATTAATTGTACCTTTATTAGACTTACAGTTTTATTCGCTATCTCTCTCATTTTTAATTTTATTTTAACATAAGATTACTTTTAAATGAAAGAAAATTATTATTATTAAAAAAACATATATGTAGTATATATAATTTAATTTTGGTAGATTTAAAAACGAATTAGATTTACCATTTTTCAAATCTATGAGGTATGTGTTTCAAAAGAGACTGTTTTGTTGAATAAATTTTACCAACAGCTTCATTACATTCATGGGCTATCTGTGGTTTCGAACAGTTGGTAAAATTTATTCAACAAACAGTCTCTTTTGAAAAACATGTCTGATAGATCCCGAAAATGGTAAATCTAATTCGTGGTTGGTCGATTTCAAATTAAATTAAATTGAATTAAATATACCACATTTTTCCTCTCTGTGTAGTAGTAAATACGACTAAACTCTTCATACGATTTATGTCTGAAAAGAACTTATGTCTGGAAGAAATTTATTACTATTTATAAAAAAAATTGAATTGGTTGTGCGATGAAATTCGAAATTGGCAAAATGGGGAAGGAGAATGTAATAGAATTTAGGTGTCTGTAAATTTTAATGTTTAATTTTTTGATACATAAAACTTACCGTCCAAACCACTGAACTGGCATAATTGTATTGTATTATATAAATATAACGTGAAGCAAATGTATTTTATTTTTTTGATTTTTCTGATGCCAGCAAACAAGTTTATTGAATTCCACACACCTAGTGGTGGTTTTGGATTACAATTTTGATGAATGTTCTTTCTTGGTTAACGTAGATTGAGTAAGGAGCAAGCAATTAGCTTTAAGAAATCTTTTGAAATGTTGCAGGTATCATGTTCTTGTACTGGATTGGTCGGCAGGGTTTTCTATGTAGACATTTATATTAGAATCAAGTCCATTCAATGAATAATCTCTTCGGTTAAGAACTGAATCGTTGCGGCGAAAGAGTAGCTACGAGCTACTCTTTCGCCGCAACGATTCAACTATTCTATAAATTCTTGAAAACTAAAAAAAAGTTGGAATTTTTGACAGAAGACTTTCCAATGGACAGTGTCCATAGATATTAAAATTTTTCTAAAAATATTGAAATTCTCATTAATTTTCCATGGAATTTTAAATCGAAACCCATTCAAAAAAATGAATTTCACTATTTTTTAGTAGAGACTTCTAATGCCATTCTATTTTATCATAAAATATTTTTTTTTGTAAATGCGGTATATGAAAGGTACAGAGAATTTAATGGCGTTAAATTTAATACATTTTTGCATCCCTTGTCTCAAGTTTGGCTGAATTAATCTCTTTATTTCTTTTTCTGCTTTTGTCTCTCTGATTCTCTCACAAACTCTCTTTATTTGTCTCGCTTTTTCGATTACTCTTTCTTTCTTTCAATGGTTTTTGTCTTGGTGTGTTAAGGTGTAATAAAAGTAAATCATTACAATCGTCCCATAACGTACTCAGCTAAATCGATAAAAAATCTCCAAACAAAATCACAAAAAAATGTCTTAAATAAAAAAAATCATCCCCTTTAATTCCACGTCCAAAAACAAAATGACATAAAAACCCGTGACTTTAGTCAGACTCAAAATGTTAACAAAGAATAGTTAAAATTACAAAAATTAAATTAGTTGCTTTTTTGTTGGAATAAAATGCCATCAGATCAAATAATAATAATTTTTGGTATGTAAATTTCATGCTGGGTCAATTGGCTTTATTTATTTAGATGGGAAGTCTTGCAACGGATAATGTTTGCCATATTCCTCACAATGTTCTTCCATTTCACGTTGTTGGTCGCTAAAAAAATGAAATCATAATTTAATTTCCTTTTAATTTTACATTTCCGCTCAAATTGTCTTACATCAAATGTTGTGGCATTTCATTGTAAACATCGCTGAACAGTTGACGCCAGTCGGCTTTTGGTTTTTTCTCCGACACCGAAATTTGTGTCAAAATCTGTTTTCGTATCGATTTTGTATACTCATTTTCATCGTGTTCATTCCACCATCCTTTTTTCGTCATATAATTTTGCAGTTTATTGATCGGATGCTCTGAATTTTGCCATACTTCAATCTCTTCGGCTGATCTATAGGCAGTACTATCGTCAGATGTGGAATGATGTCCTAAATTTTAAGTTAGAATTTTAAAAAATTTGGATTTTCTTTGAAATAACGACCAGAATAATTACCAACACGATAAGCCATCGCCTCAATGATAACGGGTTTATTGTGTTTCATCACATAGTCACGGGCGGCACGGGTGGCATTGTATACAGCGAATATATCGGTTCCATCGACTAAATAAATTGAAAACGATTATTCATTTGTTTGAGTTGTTCTTGTGTGTATGGGTAAACCTCTGATGGCTGCAATTCCGTATCCAGCTGGTCCTCTTCCAGCTATTCCATCGCCTTGATACTGTTCGGAACTCGGTGTTGATATGGCAAAACCGTTATTTCGACTAATGAAAGGAAACATGATTTAAAAAAAAAATTATGCACACATTTCTGCGATTGAAAGAGAGTCGACTCAGTCCGTGAATAAAAAAAATATTTACCAAAACAAAATAACCGGACATGATAGTGTTGAGGCAAAGTTGAAGGCAGCATGTGCATCACCTTCTGATGCGGCACCTTCTCCGAAGTATGTGACCACACATTGATTGTTATTTGGACGTCGTTTTAATGCATACGCAGCACCCACCGCTTGTGGCATCTGAGTGGCTGTAGAAGAAATTAAAATTAGATTTTCAATGAAGTCACGATGATTTTCAATCAAAATCACGATTTTTGACGTTTATCCAAAAAAAAATTCGATAAAATTTAACGGAAAAACCCTTGAAACAAGGTCGGCGGAAAAGCAAAATTTTACTGCTTCCGTACAATTCCCCTTTACCATCGACTATATGTCAAATGTTCCCAATGGTAACTAAGTAACTACTAATTAATTTACCTAATGGACTGGAAATGGTAACAAAATTCAATTCCTTAGATCCATAATGAACGGGCATCTGTCTGCCTTTTCCCTTATCGCCAACATTTCCATAGCACTGATCAACGAACTGTTCAACGGTGAATCCTCTCCATAACAAAACTCCCGCTTCACGATATTGCCCATAAATTAAATCGTCACGATGCAAACCAGCGGCCGAACCAATTTGTGTCGCTTCCTCTCCGTAATGTGTCATATAAAATGAAATTCGACCCTGTCGCTGTGATTCGTATAAAATTTTATCCATAATACTCAACTGAATCATATTTCGATACATCTTCTGTACAACTTCCCGGGATAGCTGTGGCTCTTGACTGTTATCCAAAATATTCCCGGATCGATCAAGCACACGATAAATTGGAATTGAATTTACATTTTCTGGCTGTTGAAATAGCGGTTCAGTTGTGTAAATTGTTTGACGAATGCCGGGAAAATCGATAACATCATCGCTTAGAATTTTTTGTGTTGTTGACGGTGTTCCTGACGTCGGTGATTGTGTATGCAGACCTTTTGTGACCTTGTTAACATTTTTTTTTTGGTTAATTTTGGTTAATTTCAATTGAATTAATTTTATGCCAACTCACATTTAATCGCACGGCCAAATTCGAAATTATTCGACACGGGTGACGGATAAAACTCATTTTTGTTTGGAAAATATGAAGACGATTCAACTTTTTCAACGATTTTTCAACAAAATAAACAGAATTTAATATTACGATTTATAAATGTGTACGAACGACAAAAACGGTGCTTTGTGAACTGTCAAACTACACTCGAATCGTGTGGAATGAACGAAGACAGTCGCGCGCACATTTATCAACTCATACAGTGCGCGTACCTTAAATCACAGTTACACATACCAACGTATGTCCAATTGTAAGTGACGCATGTCATGTCTCGTTTATATTACAACAAATAACTGAATTTAGCTGAATAGAGCACAAAACGAAGCGAAGAATGGAGAAAAAAATAGTTTTTTGATTAAACCAAACTGATTTGACTGAAAAAGTGATTTGAAAATGTCATTTTTAATATAAAATAACTATTTTAAATTCAATTCTGTGATTCCACTGCGTATTCAGCAGATGCATAAACATTCACAGCAATACACATAACAACATGATAACAACTACACTCACACTATCCGAAATCACTATGCGGTCGGAATGGAATGTGCATGTGCGCACCGTTGTTGTTGTGCATGTTATCGCTGTTTACTCTAGCATTGACTCCCGTCTTCTTCTTCTTCACAAAATCATCTGTTTTTTCTAAATTTTGTTTTTATTCTTCGTTCGTGAACGCTCTGTTTGCCTTTGTTATTGACATATATTTTGTTGCTTGACTGTTTTTGTGCAAGCTCACTCGGTTACAAATACACCGAGGTATTTCCTCGCATTGCCTAATGTCGAAAGCGTAAACAATACATGCCTCGAATGTTTACATTTAAACGTTCTTATTTTTTCGCGCGATTGAACGATATGGAACGAATTTCAGCATCGGAATATATTTCATTCAGCAAACGTTGAAGGCAATGAAAGTTGTTTTATAATACAATGTCGTCATTTCATTTGATGCTGTTGTTATCAGCCGTTAAAATGAATGTCTATCACTTGGACAAGACTATCTATATTGTTTTGAAGAGATAATTGTCGCAAATTCGATTTGATTGTAAACTTTAAAGAATGAAAAACTGTGTTTCATACAGTTGTTTACCATCAAAACGTATTCCTTTTATGGCGCTCTTTTATGTGATAGAAATGCGCGAGAGATACTACTTTTGTTCAACACGTTTTAAAAAATGTTTGTTTATTGAACAATATACACTACAATATATAGTATGTTTGTACCTTTCAGTCAAATTTTGAAACAAAATTCTGCGTTCCCATTTAATATTTTCAAGTAAAAACAACTTACGACAATCAAGTAAATTTGTATTGTAAATAACAGGAATAGTCACAGACATAAATAATTTTATTATGATATTTGAAATTAGTTTGAAAAGTTTTCTTTTTTATGCAGAAAATTGGAATTGACCACAACCCGATTGTATTGCCGTGAAAATGAGTGTTTCGTGTTGTACAGATATTGTTCTTGCTATGCAGATATTCCGTGTTATACAGTTGATGGAAAATCCAGAAGGCTGATTGTATGTTTTGAAATTAAAGGACTCACTGTCGCAACAAAACTGTGAAAGGGAGTAATTTGTCGGTGAATTCAGTATTTAAGTCATCTCACCCGACTTTCAGAATTTTATTATCTCAATACATACAAAATAATCCGGTCTTTCCAATGTGCTGTATTTTCTTGGTCGTCTCAATAAATACACCACAACCTTTTTCTCCATTTTATACATTAGAGCACATTACATCCTACATTCTGGAAATACAACAGCTTCAACCTTAATTTAAAATAAATAAACCTATTTTCGATTTTTAACTCTATATTCGGTGTGGAAACACATCGTGTTAGAGATCTTTATGTTATGTAAACACAAAATTCATGAATCAGTTCGATGTAAAATACAAATTTGTAATATATTCAAGCAATTTAATCTTACTTAGTATTCCAAGTCATGGCTTTAATTTCTTGGTCTGACACAAAGCCTACATATTTAGACGTGGAAGCGAGAAACTCTTCCTCGTTTAGTTCATCCAATGGGAATAAATCACCCAATTGCACTCTCAGCTTCAATGGATTCAAGTCGATGCCATTTCGCATATTTTCTGCCTTTGACCATTCGATTATTAATGGGTTACACCTTGATTCCATCAACTGTAGAATATTCTCAATCGATTTGCGGTTACACTCCAAAAAGCTGTCGGATGTCAAGATTCTTGTGCATTTTCTCGAATTTTTTCCTCACAAAATCGCTGTTTGTTTTCAAGTTCAAGAAGAACGGCCACTTCATAACCAAAACACATCTCATTGTTGGTCAATCATTTTTTGAATGGAATTTAACACGCCTCGACTGCTTCGTTCAATTCATATTTTTTACACAAATTAATCACTTCGCCAATGTGTTCAGATGTAAGCTGCACTTCGCACTTATAGAAAAATTGTAAAAATTCTCTAAAAGCTGCG